TCCAGCTGTAGTCACCTTCCTGTCCCAAACGTGTGGGCAGAGAGACACAGGGAAGGTAGCCAAACACCTTGAGCTGTGCCTGCAGTAACTTTCTGATCACCTGTTAATTCTACATCCAACATAGGTTTAAACCAACTACCAAAAGCCATTGGGGAGCTCATCCCTCAAGACACACACCACTGAGCTTACTCCCCCATCCCAGCAGAGCCAAGGTGACATAGACAATGGCACAGCCTGCACCACCCAGGGCTGCCATCAGCACCCCAGGGATTGCCTGTCCTCAGCCATCCACAACCCTGGCTTCCCTCCACTGATGGCCACTGATGCTGTTCTGATCAGACTCCCATCGCCTCAGGGCTCCTACCTGAATTTCTGCCCCGGAAATAATAAAGTCACAGCCAAACCCCAAAGCAGCCCCAAGAACAGCTCAGCCATACTGGGCAAAGTCTGATGCTCCCATGGGAGGGCACGAAACCTTACAGGGCGCCATGGGATGGTGCCCAGACACACCTTCGCCAGGCTGCAGGTGGGTGGGTCTGGTGACAAAGGGGGTTGCGGAAGCAGGTGACACGTGGCACTATGGATCAGGAGCACACCTCTCTTGAAGGCCACCTGGTCGCACAGCCTGTACCCACTACTGCTGCACTCTCATGTGGACCTGCTGAGCACTCACCAAGTGCCTGTGGACAAAGTCTGTCCCGAAACTACCGCTGCACCTCGCTGCAACACTGCTCCCCAAACAGCCCCTGGTGCTAAGGATGATGGGGACCCCCCCAGGGACACCAGCCTTCAGGAGCAGCGCAGAGGACTAGCCCCAGCCCTCTTGAGTTCCAACACCCTCAGCAAAACATTAGGTGTCTGCTCCTCAGCTCATCCTGCAGCACCGGGGCTGCTGCTGTGTGTGTTTCTGGGAGGGAAGCGCAGCGTGGTGAGGCACCTAGCCCAGGGCTGCACCCTGCGGCAGGGGGCTGTGAGAACAGGCAGCTACTGTCAGGGCAAGGGCAGGTACATACCACACTCCAAGTACATACTCTGTGAGACTGGGAGAAGCCCAGCAACCCTCAACTCCAACCCCCCTGCAGTGAACCCCCAACAGCAGAAGGGTCTCATGCTTACCCCCCTCCTGCTCCCCTTAGCCTCGGCCTGCTGCAGCAGGATCAGTCCCTGCCACAGCAGGACCAGCCCAGTGGGACACAGAGCTGGTTTTGCTTGGTGAAACATCTAGCTCTGAACTGGGCCAGGGCAGACCTGCACTGGGGGATCCACCCGCAGAGAGCAGGGCAGGCCTGACAAGGCTGGGCTCCGGCATGGGACCTGACTCTGCCCTGTCCAGCCAGCACCAGCAGCTCTGCTCTTCGGCTGCTGGGAGAGGGCAGTGCTCCCCAGGAGCAGGCAGGATGACGTCCCCTGTGCAGACAGGGAACACGAGGTGAGAGGTAACTGGGACTTGCACATAGCAGAAGCACCAGGAAGTAGGTGACACACACAGGCCACGCACATCCTCAAGGCACAACTGCCCCAGAGGCTGCACCAAATCCATCCACAAGCTCCCACCCAGGCACACAGCTGGTTCTCCGCACGCCTCATGCACACACGGCATCGCTGGGTGGGACAGGAGGTGCTGGCCCTTCCCCTGCCACCCTGCCTGCAGCAAGCAGGGCACTCCAGCGATGGTCCCTGCACAGGGTGTGATCAGGTATAGGCTCCTTACCCTCTTCCTACAGCTGCAGCTTCCTGCGCTGCACCCCAATGCTGCCCACAGGGTCAGGGAAAGATGGGACCCCAAAAGCTGTGTGCACACCCAGTCTGTAACCTCACCAGCCACGGCACCTGGGTCAGTGGCCAAGGGCCAGAGGATGCCCAGGCATAGCTGTGCCAGCCGGCTTGCCCTCAGGGGCAGGGGTCCATGGCACATGGCAGCCCCTCACCATGGCCATGTGGCTCTGCTCAGGGTAAGGAGCGTGGATGACTCAGCCAAAGAGCATCATACTCCCACCCATTTTGGGGGCACCGGGGCTGCCCATGCAGCAGGCACCTGCCTGCAACGCAGGCCTCAGCGCTGCCCTGCCCTCGCCCTCCCCTGCCCACCCCTGTCCCCTCCGGTGCTGAGGCCACCGGGACAGAGGAAGGCCCAATGCTAACAGGCTGCCGGCAAGGGAGAGGAGGCAAGATCAGGCCTGCAGGATATTTGGGAGGGGGAAGAGGAGAGTGCACTGCCAGCTCGGGAGCAGCAGTTCGTTACCCTCCCCCACCCTCTAAAAATAACCGGCTCCCTCAGCCCAGCGCACCCATCCCCCTGCCTGCACCGCTGCCCGCGTCCCTGCAGACCGGGGTCCCCCCTGCCTGCCCCGCAGGATTTGGCAGGTGAGCCCGGCCCAGGAGCAGCCAGGCTGGACAGGCCGGGGCAGGGTTACGCTTGGATTCACGACGGCAGCAGGGAAAGTGCCTCCCTGCCCCCTCTGTCACCCTGGGAGGGGACCAGCCACCCGGGAGCCCCCTGCTCCTCAGCCTCACGCCTAGAAAGCCAGGAGCGGCTCCTCTCCAGCCCACGGAGGAGGCAGCTCTGACCCACATATGATTTGGAAACCTATTTCTAGCCTGCGGATACCGAGGGCTTAGTGAAAGCTCTCCCGCCCTGCAGGGGCAGCCCCGGGGACCAGGAACCGGTCTGGCAAGTGCCCGGGGCGTTTGGGTCAGAAGAGCAGGCGGGTCCGGGGCGAGAGATGCTGCACAGGGCAGAGGGCTGGGTGGGAAACGGACCCCGGCCCCTCCTGCTGCCACGGGGCCCGGACGGCTCCCACGGATACGGGATGGAGTGGGGCAGGAGCGACCCAACTGTTGCTGCCCCACGAGGGAGCCGCCGGGCTGGGCCCACGCCGGGGCTGGAGACAGACGTGCCGGCAGCCGGGGCACTGCGCGGCCGCTCCGGGGGTTCGTACCCCGACGGCACCGGCGCTTCGTGCGCCCCGCAGCCCCATGCCAGCGGACAC